GAGTGCCGGCGGGAAGGGGCCGAGCCCGGAGGATCCTCCCTCCCCCTGCGGCCCAGGGATGCGGCGCGGCGGCCCCCAGACTGCAGGTTCCCGCTCTCCGCCACGACCCACTAGCCCGGGCTCCCGGAGGGGGCGGTCCAGCGCCCTCCGCCCGCGCCACCACCCGCAGCGCCCCCTTTCCCGCCCGCCTGCCCAGAGGCCCCCACCCCGGGGGCTGACACTCACCAAAGCCGGCGGCGCCGCCGCCTCCTTCTCACGCCGCGCTCCCTGGGCTCCCCGCAGCCGCGGCGGCGGCGGCGCCTCCAAGACACAGACCCGGGTTTGTTCAAAATCACGCGCCCAGCGCCATTCCACCGCCGCATCCCATAATACGCTGGGCCCTCCCCTCCCGCGCGCCCCTCTCCGCCCGCCCCTCCACTCTGCCCGCCCCGCCTCCACGGCTTCCTTCTCCCCGCCCTTTCCGCGGCGCCTTGCCCCGCCCCTTGGCAACCCTAGTAGCGTCATCCCGCAAGGCGGCCGCGAGTACGCTCGTGCTCCACGTGACTCCGAGTGTGCGCTCTGTCAAAGCTTTCGCACGGAATGTTCCATCCAGCTGAATCTGGGAGGGGGAAGGCGGGGTCGCGCCCGAGCTTGGGAGGCAGTGTGTTATCTTCTAGCTTTCCTTGTTAGGAAGTCTGTGCTGTAGGTGCGATTTCCAGCATCTTGCCGTTGTTTGATGTTCTTGGGTGGGGAAGTGATCAGCAATCACAAATGCCAAATCTCTTTGTTTTTTAGGCACTGATTTTGCGGGGGTCGCTAAAAAAGCCCCTGGAAGACCACGCAGAGTTAAACTTATTTTGAAAGAGACTTTTTTTACGGTATACAGTCAAGGCTAACACAATCAAAATTCTTTGTATTTGGTAACCTTTTACTTTTATTTTTCCCGGTATTCTTTTTATAAGGTAAGAAAAGATGCCCAAATTTGGAGTCGGATAAGCAGGCAGAGATTCAGTGAATAACTGCCCTGTATGAGAAGACTACAGAGGAAACAATAGAAAATACAAAAGAGTATATACGTAGTATAAAATGGTGTGGTACAGTTTGTAATTGCTAGTGAAGCACGGAGGACGTGCAGGTCAACGTGAGAGACTGTAACCTGGGAACACAAAGGAGGAGGTGAGACATGCTGTAGTGGAAGCAACAATCATTTTGGAGTTAAGCAGTCCTAGTTTTAAATTCTGGCACCTCCACTAAAGTGTATAACATTTATCAAGTTTCTTTTCCCATCTACAAAAGAAAAATAACATAGCTTCCCAAGATCCTGAGGATCATATAAAGTGAGAGGTGTCAAGCAGCTACACACAGTCTTTGCCTCAAATGTTAGTTCTATTTTACCATAATCAACAGCACCCCATACCTTCCACCTCAAACTCTATGGTTAGGATTTAGCAAGGCAAGTGGCATGAAATTAGCAAAGGCTTGGTAGTGGGAAGGTCTGGAGCCTGTGCAAGGAATGTGAGAAAACTGAATGATACACAGGCTTTATTGAGGATCAGTAGGTGAGTCCAGTTTATGAGGAGCTTTGAGAGCTGGTGTAAGAAAACATCCTGGTGGTGGGAATTCCCTGGTGGTCCAGTGGTTAGGCCTCTGCGCTTGCACCCCAGGGGGCCTGGGTTCCATCCCTACTCAGGGAACTAGGATCCCACAAGCCACCCGGCCAAAAATTAAAGTAAGAAAGAAAGAAAAGGGCCTTGGCAGTTAAAAAAAAAAGTGGTTAAATGATGGGTGGTACTTGTGGGGCACCTCTGGAAGGAAGAAGAGAGTGAGATGGGGTACCCAAATCTGGCTGGAATCTAGGGAAACAAAGAATCACCTTCAGAAGGAGAAAATTTCTCAATTTATTCCACAAGGCTAGCATAAACCGGTTACCAAAACCCAAGGCAAAGAGCACCAAAAAAAAACCAACAAAAAAAGGAAAATTCTTCTATTCTCACTATGACTTTGTTAAAAAGACAAAATTGAGTATTAAGACATAAAATCCAGTAACGTGGTAGTAAAAAGAATTCACACCATAACAAAGAATGGTGGTTTAACATTAAGAAATATACTCATGACATTTATTAAATTAAAGGAGAAAAGCCAAATGATATTCTCTAGAGATGTACCATATAACATTCAACAGCCATTTCTGAATTTTAAAAACTTCTTAGTAAACTAGAAATAAAAGAACAGTTCCTTAATTGGATCAAGATAATTATAAAAAAACGACAGTAATATCATACATTAGAGTAAAATGGCAGAAGTACTCACGTTAAAATCACAGATCCAGGGGCTAACCTGGTGGTTCTGCGGTAAAGACTCTGCCCTCCCAATGCAGGGGGCCCGGGTTAGATCACTGGTCAGGGAACTAGATCCCGCATGCCCCCGAGTGCCGCATGAGACCCGGTGCAGCCAAATAAATAAATAAATGAATATTCTTTTTAAAAAAATCAGGGACCCACAAGGATGCAGGGCTATAGTAGCTATTTAACATTTTTCAGGGCATCCTAGCTAAATGCAATTAAATAAGAACGTTAAAAAAAAAAGCTTGAAATAGCGGAAAGAAGAGACAAAATTGTCCTTATTAAAAATAATAACAAAGAGCTCAGTGTTGTGGTTAACTGCTTGGCCTCTGGAGCCAGACTGCCTGGATCCAAATTCTGGCCCTGCCACTTAATAGCTGTGTGAACCTAAGCAAGTTACTTTCCTCTTGAACCTCTGTTTCCTCATGTGTAAATTGGGAATAAAGTATCATCATAAGGTTGTTGTGAAGATTAATGAGGTACTATGTGTAAAGCATTTTGAATAGTGCCTGGTATATGGTAAGAGCTCATGACTGAAAACTAATAATAATCTAAGCTACAATACAGTCTAAAATATAATGTAATTTTTTACTTTTTCAAGGAGAGCATTTTTAGCCCCTAAGAACCACTGCTGTTCAAACAAAACAGAATCTCTGTTTATATTTGCATGACAGCTTTCCTAGATGAACTAAAAGCATTTATTCAGCAAGTATTTGTTGATCATCTACCAAATCCTAAGCACTGACAAGACACTGGGAATAAAGTGGTAAACAAGACAGAGCAGCTCTATCCAATGGAATGTTCCGCCATGGTAGAACTGTTCTATATCCACAGTCTGATATAGTAGCCGCTAGTCACCTGTGCTTGTCAAGCAACTGAAATGTGGCTAGTGTGGATAAGGAACGAAATTTTCATTT